CAGCTAAAAGAAGTTTCTAGAAATTTCCACAAAAACTCAAGTCCCAAAATTCGCGCGGGTATATTAAGACGCCAACTTAGTCAGCTTACTGAAGTTAGTTTTCTTACGTCATCACCTTCGAAAGTTTTCTATGGTGTGGCATGATTACTTTATGAACCTTATGGTAGTATTTCCTGAGCCAGTGGAAGTTTCTAGAAATTTCTACAGAAACTCAAATCCTAGAATTCCCGCAAGTATATAAAGCCGCCAAACACAAACATTTCATTCCATTCCAACTCAGTTCTACTTTCCAGTCGAAATTGTGTTCTTAAGTAGCAATGGATAGTTTAAGTCGTCAATATGCATTAGCTTTTGAACTTCCTTCAAAACTTCAAACTCATGTCTGGATTGTCGGAAAATGGGAAAAGACATCTTTTAGAGCGAAAAAGAATTCACATAAGGACATCCGACCAAGTTGTCATTTATGTAAACCTTTCTCACGAGGTAAGCACCTCCTTTCGAAAAACTTTTAATTTCAATCTCTCGAAAGTTTTGATAGTTCACCGGTCCAGAGAATGGCTACATAGAAGTCAGTGGAATTGTTACCGGAGTGAAAACCGTGAAGTGTGAAAGTTTTGAGCAAGAACAAATCGGTTCCACCAAACTGGAAGAATGTTTCGGTAAGTAATTCTCGCGTAATCGTTTGGTGTATCCAAACATTTTTAGTCAACTTTTTCTGTTATGTGGAGCGGTACCTTAATTGTTTTGTGCTAACATAATTTATTAGGAGTTTTACTTTTTTTATAAAAATTACAACCGAATATCAAGATGAAACCGTTGAAGTAACAGATAATTAGTAAAATAGTAAAATTTAGTTCAGATTTAACGTAACTCAATGATAGCAATACCGTAAACTTTACACGTGCTTTGTTGTAGAGCTGCTGAAGAACCGCGCTCCCAGCAGTTCACGAGCCCCTCTCTCGGGCGCTGAACGCAAACGGCGCTTTGATAGTAATGAATCAGATCAGATCAGGACGCGTTGCAAGGTCTAGATAGATTACAAGAAGAGCGAGCAGCCGCCAAAGATCTACGACGTTGCAAAACAAGGTTTGCTGCCTTATCGTTTGGGAATGACGAGCCTTCATTACACAACCTGGGACCCATGGCTTATATTTGCAAAGCCTGTCGAGCGCGGCATTTTAAAGAAGAGGCTACTCAGAATGACCACACTCTTTTCACAAGTTGTTGCCAAAAAGGGAGTGTTAAGTTGGAGCCGGTATATTCCGCAAGGTTTCCAGAAATCTTGCATCAGTTGCTGACAGGCAGTCATTTTTCCAGCAAAAGCTTTTTTGCTAACATACGAAAGTATAATAGTGCGTTAGTATTTGCGTCGGTTGTTGCAAAACTGATTGTCTTCCGGGAACTGGACCAATGACTTATCGTACATCCGGCCAACTGTATCATTATCTCAGTCCTGCCCACCCTTCCAGCAATGATTCACCGAAATACGGACAGCTCTATTTCTTGGACAGCGCAGATGCGGTAGAAGTTCGTTTAGCTGACCCTGTGAACAGCTCACTGCAACTTCCGCTCTTGGTAGAGCTCGAGACAACGCTTCGCAAGTGCAATCCTTTTGCTGAGGCATACCGTATGATGCGGGAGGTGGAAGTTGAGGAACAGCAAAAAGCAAGCTGTGAACAACGACCGCCTTTGGATGTTAAATTGGTCTTTGATAACGATCGGCGAAAACCTCAAAGGCGATATACTGCTCCAGCTTGCACGAAGTTGCTGCCGTTATTGTCGGTAACGCCGTTGGAGAGTTTCCTGAACATCATCTTGCGGTGCATTCAAAAACTGGCGGCCTCCGTACGATTCCTTCGTTGAACGGCGACTGCGATCCAATGTGTTATCCACTGTTGTTCCCACTTGGAAATAAAGGGTTTCATCCACAGTTAAAACGTGAGAAGGGAAGAGCAAGCGTATCACTACTTGAAGTATGAACAAAATTCTGTTTACTACAAATGTTTTCCATTTTTTTAGTAGTTGGTGGTCTGTTATGCAATTTGATGTTTGACGTGTATTTTTGGGTTCTGCAGTTCTATGCTTATCAAATAGCCGACCGAGAGGAGTTCAATCCAATACTTCATGGAAAAGCACTTTTCCAGCAGTATACAGTGGATTCTTATCTTAAAGTTGAAGCGTCCAGGCTGCAGTTCCAGAAGCTGAACCAAAAGAAACTGCGCGTTGAAAGCTACCAGGGGTTGTCGGATTTTTTAGCGACAGCGGCTACAGAGCGAGGTATGCAGCCTGGGCGCTCCGTGGTGCTTAGCTCCAGTTTTGGTGGGGGGCCGCGAGCAATGCGTCAAAACTATCAAGACGCAATGGCCATGTGTCAAAAATTTGGAAAGCCGTGGATATTCCTTACAATGACAATGAATGCGAGATGTCAAGAAATTGAAGAGCATCTGTTCCCCGGCCAGAAAGCCACTGACCGTCCCGACTTAGTAGCCCGTGTGTTCAAGCTGAAGCTTAAGGAACTCGTGAAAGATATCGTTGACAATGAAGTTTTCGGCCGAGTGGATGGATTCTGTTTTGTAAGTGGGATTAACTACTTTTACATCAGGTCGGATACTCGATCCTTTAGCCTTCTGGTTTCATTTTAAAATTTCTTTTGAACTAATTTTATTGCATTAGTTACTTGCGGTTCAGCCGAAAATTCTTTCGCAGTAAGGTTTTTTTCAGTCGCTTAGCATTTGTTGAGATGAAGAAATTGCGTTAACGTTTGTGATTTTAAACATAATAGAATTTGTATTACAGACAATTGAATTTCAAAAACGTGGACTTCCTCATTGCCACTTGCTGTTGATTGTTGACAAAAGAGATGCGAAGGTCGAAGCTGAAATTATTGGTAAAGTGGTCTGCTGCGAAATTCCTGATCCAGTGCTTCATCCGCGGTTGCATGAGGCCGTCAAAAGCTTTATGGTTCATGGTCCGTGTGGAAAGCTAAACCCACAGTCTGTATGTATGAGAGAAACAGGCGAATGCCACGCAAAATTTCCGAAACCTTTCTGCGCTGAGACCAACCCCAACAAAGACGGTTACCCGGAGTACCGGCGCCGCGATAATGGGCGATCTATGACCGTTGGCAATCGTTTGGTGGATAACCAGTGGATCGTTCCGTACAACCCTTACATGTTGCTTAAATACAACTGCCACATCAATGTGGAAATTTGTGCAACTGTAAAGAGTTTCAAATACATCTACAAGTACATTTTCAAGGGGAATGATGTTGCTTTAATGAGCATAGTCAACGCCCAAGGGGAACGAGTGTTGAATTTGGATGAAATTGCGGCGTTTGTTGAGTCCCGATATATAAGCGCCCCGGAAGCATGCTGGCGACTTTTTAAATACGAAATGCACTGCGTTTCCCATACGATTGTGCGACTGCCCGTCCACAAGCCGGAAGAACAGGATGTTTACTTTACAGCAGGCCAAGAAGAGGAAGCCTTAGCTGCCGCAACGAATCGAGAGACCATGTTGACCGCTTGGTTCAAACCAGGAGATGCTGTTACTTACACAAGTGTTGATACCCCAGTTTGCGAAAATGGAGAAGATCCAACTGAATTTCCTGAGGAATTTTTGTATACGCTTACTCCGAGTGGATTGCCGCCCCACGAACTGGCGCTTAAAGTCAACACAGTGGTAATGCTCCTCCGCAATTTAGATGCAAAGCACGGCCTCTGCAATGGGACCAGGATGATCATTCGAAAATTGAACAAGTACAGCTTAGACTGCAAAGTACTAAGTGGAAGCAGCAAAGGAAAGCGGGTGTTAATATCCCGAATAAAGTTGCAACCGACCGGCGATCAGTTACCATTCCATTTTAGCCGTCTTCAGTTTCCTGTGCGAATTGCATTTGTCATGGCTATCAACAAGGCGCAAGGGCAAACCTTCGAGAGAGTTGGGATAGTATTAAAATCTTCCGTATTTTGTCACGGGCAGTTGTATGTTGCATTCTCTAGAGCTCGAGCTTTTGACGCAATTAAGGTTGTGCTTCCAGTCAAAAAGCTGAAAACCAGAAACGTTGTTTTCCGCGAAGTTTTTACAAACCTTTAAAGCTGGTATAATAATAAAGCTTTTGTTATTGTGATTGACGTGTTGCGTTTTTTGAAGCATCTTTGTTTTCTGTTAAAACCGCGAATACGAATTAACAACTCAGACAATGAAAAGACTTCTGTCGGTATTTTGTCAGTTTGAATAGTTCGTATTGAATAAGTACGTCATAAAAAACCTTATGACAACTCTATTAGCTTTAAAATTAAAAGGTCGTTTGAAAGAAATAAATTAAAAAATGAGTGAAAGGACCCTTTTTACCTTTTGAAAACGAAAATCCGAAACGTTTGTTTTTGACATCTTTTTTCAGAGTTCAAATATAAATTTTCAGACAATTCTACGATGACAAATGCCTACTGAGGGTTCTGACTGGCGGAAAAAACCTGTCTGCACAGTTCAAATATAAATTTCTAGAAAATTCTATGATGACAAATGCGTATTGGAGGTTCTAAATGGCGGAGAACCTGCCTGCACAGTTCAAATATAAGCCTCTGGAAACTTCTATAATGACAAATGCGTACTGAGGAGTTTAATTGGCGGGTGAAAACCTGTCTTCACAGTTCAAATATGAATTTCTAGAAAATTCTATGATGACAAATGCGTACGGGAGGTGCTGATTGGCGGATAAAAAGCTGTTTTCACAGTTCAAATATAAATTTCTAGAAAATTCTATGATGACGAATGCGTACGGGAGTTGCTGATTGGCAGAGCAAATCCTGTCTTCACAGTTCAAAAATAAATACCTAGAAAATTCTATGATGACAAATGCGCACTAGAGGTGCTGATTGGCGGAGAAAAACCTGTCTTCACAGTTCAAATATAATTTTCTAGAAACTTCGATGATGACGAATGCGTCCTGAGGGTTCTGATTAGCTAAACGGATACACCACTGGCAGCCACCAGAGTATATAAAGGCCCCGAGAAAAAAATTTGCGATTCATTTCCTCATTTAGATCGGATCAGAAAAGTTTTGAAAAGTTGCACAGCTTAAACACAGTTGTCTTATAATTTAGTCTGCCCAACTGTGGACCGATCACAATGGATTTCGGTGATTTTGGAGCCTCAGGATCTGGAATTAAACTTCCTGAACGGACGTCACAGTCCAAATAGCCGTAAGTGAAAAGATAATAGTTTAGAAGAAAGCGATTTTAATGGTAATTACAAAGAAATAATTTACAGGAAATAAAAAGCCCCACTGCAATTATCTTATGGGATGGTGCGCGCAAAATTGGTAAGTTATGACCAGAACATTATAGGCAAAAAATACTGACTTTGAAACACTAAACAATCACTTTTAAATAGTCATGCATAAGAAAGAGTGGTTTTTCATTTAGCAATCCGTAATTACGCATTGTTGTTAAAACGTGTTACGCGTTAAAATTACGCAAATTGCTGCAAGTCTGCTGTAAAATTTCTAAATAAATTCTTGAACAGGTTTTAAACTGATTACCAAAATATATTTAAGTGCATTTCATGCTATGGTTCATGGTTTTATTCTAGCTTTGATTGGCCTCATTGACCATTGAGTGACCTTTATTTGACCTTTAGATGCTTCTGTCAAAAATTCTGGCAACGCGTTCAGCGGAAGCTCTATGCAATTTGCAACCATTACATTAACCGAGTTCAAAGTTTTCGGCCGGTTAGTCCAGAAATTTTTATGAAATAAATAGTTCTCTGGCAACGTCCGTCTCTTGCAGAGAAAAAATTATCATAAGCGGCTACGAGGTCGTGGCAACAGGTTCCGACAACGGAAACTCCCTTCTTACTGCAGGTCTACCTGCAATTCCAAACGGTTTAGCAGGAATGGCGTCAGGAAGGAACAAGTATGTACACTGCTTATTTAAAAAAACAAAATTAAAAAGCGCTCATTTTTAGAACTGTCTGTGGTGTTGTATCTTCTGTGGATAAAACCTACAACAGCCCTGACGATACTGACGGAGAAAAGAAATTTCGAAGAATCTTGCTTGCGGACCATACTGGCAGCCTTAACGTTACCGCTTGGCGCGAGAACGTCGAGAAATTTGACAACATTCATGTTGGACAAGTTAGTTTCCAAATTCTAAATTTTTTTTATGATTTAATGTTAATTTAACAAAGAAGTTTACGATGCTTTTCTTTACGATATTTTCAATGCGCAAATTGATCGATTTATCGATTTTCGACCACGTTTGCCGATAGTTCTAAAAATAGCGCAATAATAATACCGAATATTTTATCTTGACCGCAGTTCGTTCAGATAACGCATGTTAACGCGGAAAACAACGAAAAGTACAGGAATGCGGCATCTCTTAAGCTCGGAATCACTTTAACACCATCAACAACAATTATTCCTGTGAACGAACCTCTTCCAATTGGACAAATTACAGACATCAAAACGGCAAAACATTTTAATGACCCAGCGCGAAAATTCGATAAATTTTTAGATTACTTTGGAAAATTTTTTTCAGTGACGTGTTTTTTAGACCTACTGGCTGTCGTTGAAGGTGTAAAACACGCTAAGACATTTCAAGTGCTTCGCGAAAGGTGAAGGTCTTGGATCCTTCAATCGACCCAGCATCTGAAACAATTGTGCTCCGAGGAAATGTGGTAGGCAAATTCGAGCTACCATCCATAGTAGTTACTAGCTTGAACGTTACTTAACTTTTAGGCGGGGAAATTTTCCCTTGAGCACAGATACAAGTTAGTCTGCTTCTGCAAGTTGCATATTTCGGAGGGAACAATCACCGGCAGTGATGGAGAGCGCTATTACTTTACTGCCATGCAACAAAACAGAGCTACAAGCCGCCGGATCTGCTTGGCCAAAGATAATGGATACATTGACGACACTGCTGTCACACAAGCTTTGGCCGAGTCTCCGACCCAGGACCAAGGCAAGCGACCAGCATCGCCAACGGGAACGAGTGAAAGTAGCGCCAAAAAACATGAAACTTAGGAACAGTTCCCTCAAGTTTCGTCAAGGAATAAGTGTTACATAAAAAATAATTTTTATTTGTTTGTGCCTGTATCATAACAGCTCAGCCAGCTCTTTGTTTCAAAATCTGCCGCGCGCTCATTTTAAAATTCGCCTGAATTTAATTAGCATCAAGATCTTTTGTTGTCAGCTTTATGTCACTATATTAATGAATGGTGCGCCCAAAACTGCTTAACGAATTAAAACATTGTCGGAGATTCGATGATTTTGCATATGTTTAAACCACCGTATCATTAAGCATAACAGCCCTCCGCCAGCATACTGCCACCCAATAGCCCACAACCACAGCACCTCAGCCCGCAAACCACTGTCCTCCGAATCGCTGTTCCCCACACTGCCCCCCAAATATAGAACACTCCAACTTAGCCCGCAATCGCAGCCCCCCAAACATGGTTCGCAAAACTGAACCTCCAAAAATCTACACTTCCAGACGGTTGTCTAAACAAAGCATCTGGCCAACGTGGCCTCAGACATAACCACCCTTAAACCCCAACACGGCACGCGCCCCAAACCGCAACGCCCCACACTGCGCCATTAGCAAAGCACACTCCAAAACAACCCTCAAACTCAGCCCCCAAAACATAGCTTACCAAACCAACCCCCGCCCAAAAACCCATCTCCACAGGACGTCTCCCCAAACTATGCCCCTGGACAACGTGGCCCCCAAACAACCCTAAAACCCCAACAAAGCCCCCTTAATCGCTGCCCCCACGCTGCCCCCCAATTATGTCGCACCCTAACACAACCGTTAAACTCAGCCCCCAAAACGAGCTCCCCAAACCAAACCCCCAAAACCCTAATCCCTCTAGAAGGTTCTCATTAATCTCTTGGCTAACGTGGCTCTAGACATCAGCTGGTGTCCCTCACACTGCCCTAAATATGATGCACTAACACAACCGAACACCTCGAAACCTGCCCCTCCCGAAACAACTCCTAACTATACCCCTGGCAACGTGGCTCTATACAACTTACAAACCCCAACATAGCCCCCTCAATCGCAGCCCCCACGTTGCCTCCCAAATATGTCGCACCCTAACACAACCGTTAAACTCAGCCCCCAAAACGAGATCCCCAAACCAAACCCCCAAAACCCTAACCCCCCAGACGGTCCTCTCATCCTTGGCTACTGTGGTTTTAGACATCAGCCGGTGCCCCCACACTGCCCCCAAATATGGCACACCCCAACACAACCGTTCAACTCAGCCCCAAAACGTACCTTCCCAAACCAAACCCTCAAAACTCCTGACCCTGAAGGCTCCTAAATTAAGCTCCCACAACGTAGCTCTAGAAATCAACTGGTGCCCCACACTGCCCCTTAAATATGGCGCACCCTAACACAACCGAACCAAAACCTAACCCCCCGAAACGGCTCCCCAAACTATGCCCTTGGCCAACGTGGCCCCCAGACATAACCGCCCCAAACCCCAACGTAGCGCCCTCAATCGCTGCCCACACACTGCCCCCCAAATATGGCACACCCCATCACAACCGTTCAACTCAGCCTCCCAAAACGTACCTTCCCAAACCAAACCCTCCAAAACCCTGACCCCCCAGAAAGCTCCCTAAATTAAGCCCCTGGCCAACGTGGCCCCCAGACTTAACCGCCCTAAACACCCACATAACCCGCGCCCCCAATCGCAGCCCCCCTCCCCAATGCCCCATAAGCACACCCCAACACCAACCGAGCCACCCAAAACTTAGCCCCCCGAAACGGCTCCCCAAATTATGCCCCTGGCCAACGTGGCCCCCAAACATCGCCACCCCAACATAGCCCCCGCCCTAATCTGAGCCCACCATATTGAGTCGTGATGTCATATCGCGAGTATTCGCCCCTCAATACACATAAAAGAAGCCGCCACTTTATCAGCGGCCTGCGCGGACAAGCGAACTGTATCTATCACGTAGCTGTCACATGCTTATCACTAACGCGGCCTGTCAGGCTAAAAAAGAGCAAAAAACTATTTTCCCATCACTAGGACACATAATATTCACAAACCCAACACATGAACACTGATAAGCCATTTCGCATTTTGTAGCTCAGAAAACTAATGCTCTGTTTCCACTTTAGTTGATTTGCGTGTAACCACCGAACTCCACAATATTATTTTACATAAGTTACAATGCCGGTTATATGCCCCATTTGCATGCTGGCCACAGCCAACCTGGCCGCACTGCCCTGTGGGCACACTTTTCATCTAGATTGCGTATTAATGTGGGAGGCACAACAGTTAGTGGAAGAACAACCGATTGAATGCCCCATGTGTCGCGTTCCATACGATCACGATCGCATACTGCCGCTATCCTGGAAGTGGAAGCCCCGCCCCCGGAAAATGCTCACCCGTTGCCATTCATTGCCGCACCGCCGGTCGCACTACCAGAACTGGAAGAAATGGTGGTGGCACAGGAGGTTGTTGTGCCCGCACCTGCACAACCCATTAACAACACAGCGTTGATTACGGCTTTTGTCGGAACTTTCTTCGAAGCCGTTGGTCCGGACGCCCTTTTGCCAGTACGCCCGATGCAACACTTCTTGGACGCTTACATTGCGCACCATGGGATTTTGCTGCAGTACAACACCCAGACGAAGTATACTTTGGGAAAGGTCATCGTGAGCCAGTTCGGTATTCGCCCACACAAGAACGAACATAACGACTGGGAATATCACGGCCTCCAGCTGAATGATGATGGAGCTGCGGAGTATTTTTTTGTAACGGGTGAACTGCTGTACGATTAATGAGGTTTGACGAATTCGAAGATTTTCGGCTTCTGTTACGACTTGCATACTGTAGCTTAACTACCGGACAAGTATTAAATTGTATTCAATAGTATTTTACTTCTGTTAGGATATTTTACTTTTACTCAAGTTTTTTACAGTATTACGGGCGCTTTTACTTCCTTTTGTTGATGCTACCTATTGGGCGAAATTGTTTGTTGTTTTTCCTTCGTGCACTTATTGTGCGAGACCTAACGTTGTGATGTTTTGTAAGAATATTTGCAAATTGTACGTGCCGGTCGTTCGTTTCCGCTATACGCCACATTATCAAACACACACAAACATAATAAAGTGCAACACATCTAAACAACACAAACATCCCATACAATATACGGTTAAGAGTCCCTTTTTTTCTCTACGTAACCTTCGTTGGATACCGCGGCGCGGGACGCGCCGCGGTCGTTGCTAGTCTTACATATTAAGCGGCAGGAGTCGTAACGCGACCGCCTCCAAATCGCTCTCATTGGCCAGAACCAAAACACTTACTAAACCAAGTGAACCTACTGAACAAACTCACAAACTATAGTGAACCTGCTGAACACACTTACTAAACAAAATGAACCAGCAGAACCCAACAAAAACCTTAGTGAACCAGCTGAACCCAACCAAAACCTTAGTGAACCGACTGAACCCAACCAAAAACTCACTGAACCGACTGAACTAAAGCAAACCTTAGTGAACCGACTGAACTCAACAGAACCTTAGTGAACCAACGGAACCCAACCTAATACTTAGTGAACCGACTGAACTCAACAGAACCTTAGTGAACCAACCGAACCCAACCTAATACTCAGTGAACCGACTGAACTAAACCAAAACCTTGGTGAACCAGCTGAACCCAACTAAATCCTTAGTGAACCGACTGAACCCAACCAAAACCTTAGTGAACCAGCTGAACCCAACCTAATTCTTAGCGAACTGACTGAACCCAACCAAAACCTTATTAAACCAAATGAACCCAACCAAAACTTCAGTGAACCGACTGAACCCAACGAAATTTTTGAGTGAACCAGTTGAATCCGTCTCAATCCTTCGTGAATCGACAGAATCCAACTGAACCCAACCAAAATTTTAGTGAACCAGCTAAACCCAAACCATATTGAACGAAATGAATCTAACCCAATCGTTGTTGTACCAACTCAACTCAATCGAAACATTAGTGAACCGACAGAACCCAACCAAAACCAAGTGAACCTCCTGAACGACCTTATTAAACCATCTGAATCAGCTAAACGCATTTATTAAGTGAAGTGAACCTACTGAACCAATCTAATGCGTAACGTAACCGCAAAAAATTAAGCGGCGCAATGTAATCGCAAAAATTTGGGCGGCGTATCGTAACCACAAGAAAATGAACGGCCTGACGTAACCACAAGAAAGTATGCGGCGCAACGTTACTGCAAGAAAGTGAACGGCGCAACATAACCACAAGACATGACCGGCAAAACGTAACCACAAGAGAGTAAGCGGCGCAGGGTATCCACAAGAGCGTGAAGGGCATAAAGTAACCACAAGAGAGTGTACGGCTTGACTTAACCACATGAGCGGCGTAAAGTAACCACAAGAGAGTGAGCGGCGTAACGTTACCACATGAGCGGCGTAAAGTAACCGCAAGAGAGTGAGCGGTGTAACGTAACCACAAGAGAGTAAGCGGCGCAATGTAACCACAAAAGAGTGAACGGCCGGACGTAACAACAAGAAAGTGAGCGGCGTAAAGTAACCACAAGAAAGTGAGCGGCGTAACGTACCCAATAGAGGCAATGTAACCGCAAGAGAGTGAGCGGTGTAACGTAACCACAAGAAAGTAAGCGGCGCAATGTAACCACAAAAGAGTGAACGGCCTGACGTAACCACAAGAAAGTGAGCGGCGCAACGTAACCACAAGAGGGTGAATGGCCTGAAGTAACCACAAGAACGTAAGCGGCGCAATGTAACCGCAAGAAATTGAGAGGCGTAACGTAACCACAAGAGAGTGAGCGGCGTTGCGTAACAACGAGAGAGTGAACTGCGCAATGTAACCACAAGACAGTGACTGGCAAAACGTAACCGCAAGAAAGTGAGCGGCGTAGCCTAACCACAAGAGAGTGAACGGCGTAACGTAATCACAAGAGAGTTAGCAGCGCAAAGTAACCAAAAGAGAGTGAGCACTAAATAAATCAAATTAAATAAAATAAATTAAAATGAAATATCTTAATTAAATAAATACTTGATGAATAATTGATAAAGTATTTACTTTTTTACTAACTAAATTCAATTAACTAAATAAATTCAATTATTAAAATAATTAAAAATAAATAAATAAAATAAATAAATTGAATAAATAAAATAACT